TATATATAATTATGTACATATATATATCTCTCTTTTTTTTCCAAATGGGTGGGCCCCCTGCCCCGTTTCTAAATGGGGGGAAAAATTCCCCCCGCTCCAGCCCCACCCCCGCCCCAACCTCTGCCCCAATAGCCCCCCCGGGCACTGCCCCCGTTGCTATCCTTAGATGTGATTGAGTTGATTATGAGTATTCCATTGGGTGATAGACGAAATCAAGATAAGCTCATTTGGCACTATTCTAAAAATGGCTCCTTCACAATGAAAATTGCCTATCATCTTATCAAAATATAATCTACAAATTGACAAGATGTAGCTTCATGTAGTAATGGTTCTATGGATGATATTTGGCCCTGCTTGTGGAAACTCAACATACCAAGTAAAGTTAAAATATTCTTGTGGTGAATTTGCAAAGACATTCTACCTATAACTTCCAAGTTGAATAGTCGCGGAGTCTATTTTGATCCTACTTGTTCTTTATGTAAGGCCCCTATTGATGATGTTAATCATCTTTTCTTGTGCTGTCCAGTAGCAATTCAACCTTGGGCCCTTAGCTTTCTTACACTAAAGATAAGATTAGACTCTACCGATCAAGTTTCGTCTCGGTTGTCTGGCCTTCATCTTTTGAAAAAGCAGGACATGGAATTGGTAGCCATAATTCTTTGGAATCTACGGTTTAACCGAAATGATGCATTATTTGATGGTTCTATCGTGATCCTTTCAGTTTGGTCTCTCCCTCTCTATCAATTTCTTATAGAAATACCATGAAATAAACACATTTCCAAACATTCCAATATGCTCTTCCACTGCTCAACTTCATTGGATAAAGCCCTCTGCAAGATTTCTAAAGGCAAACTTCGATGGTGCAGTGCAAACTTCGATGGTGCAATATTCTATGAAGACGACAACTTTAGAGTTGGAATTGTTGTGAGGAATGAATGGGGCAAATTTGTTGCTAGTATTTTTCACAAAATCTTAGGTATCTTTTCTCCTGAAGTAACTGAAACTTATGCTGCAATATCTGCAATTTCCTCGTTACTTCAGTTGAAGGTTCTAAGATTGTTTTAGAGGGTGACTCTTTGAAGATCATCAACATGCTTAAAAATATGGAATCCGATGATTCAGCTTATGGAGTGCTGTTAGATGATATCTTTGTTAGTTTACAGAATTTCATTACTTGGGAGGCTGATTGGATTCCTAGGAATCTAATTGTGCCTGCTCATTTCTTAGATAGTAATGCTAGTTCTATTTCAGGTATTTATAGTTGGAGATTTTCTCCACCATTTTTTCTTTCTTTCGCAATTAATACGGATCTATCCTCTTCTTAATAAAATTTTTCCAGTTTCCGTATCAAAAAAAATTATCAGTCAAAGGTGTTATTATGCAATGTTAGTAAAATTTGAATTCAAAGTGTCACGCTTAATTTGTCTTAGTAATTCTAGTTGTATTCTATCCCCCAACATTCATATCCTATTCACTAACCATATCCAACCATGTTACGAGTTCTAGTTCCTAACTAACTTTATTTAAATTGAAATATTACTTAACTGACATGTCTAATTATTTTTCCAGCATAAGATACAACTCCAAGTAATCGACATCCCGTTTACTTATTTGTTGCAAAACCGCCTCCTTAGAACCGTCTCCCAATCAACAAATACTGCGCACAAACATATGCTAACCAGTAATTTTTTTTTTTTCTATATTGAAATATGTTTGACATAAAGCACTTCAAACTTGGACTATATTTCAGATGTTGTCCTGCTTCCCACTTTTTGGGAAGTCCTTTGGCATTTCGGAGTATGTTATAAACACTTTCTACCGATTGGTATCCACTTCTTAACTTCAAGTAAATATTCATTTAATTTTTTCCAATTGCATATTAGCATAATATTGGGGGTTGGGGTTGATAATTTCTTTATTATACGCCTAAATCTTGTTCAGAAATTGCCTTAAATGACAGAGAAAATAATCTTTCACAGTTTATGTGGGTCAATTCCTCTAGAAATTGGGTCAATACCATTGTTACCGGTGGTTTTTGGGCTTAATACTAAAATACCACCTTTGATTAACCCCACTCCCATCTAGTAATCTCCAACCAACACGTGTCGCGCGTCAACGCACTATAGAAGTTCCGTTGATAACTTTCTGCATTTTCTTTTTTTTTTTTTGTTAATGGGATTTGTGGATAAATTTGTGAGTGAATTTTCGAACCTATTAAAAGTGGAATTTGTGCTGGTGGAAATTTTTTAATAGGCTTTGCGATATGAACGTTAAAAATGAAGGTGAATTCACTATTAATGCTTTAAAATTACCACTCATTTCATGATGATGAATTGCGACACCTTACAAAATAGGTTTATCCTTTCACAAAAATAAATAATGGTACCAAGTCCACATTTTATTGTGTGCCTTAGGCACCATATAGTCACCTATTAATTATTGTCTTCAGTCCGTTACTAGAATTAATGCAGGCAATGTCATCATTTTTTTTATGAGAATTGGCGAGCTTAGTGTTATCAATTTAACTTCCATTTTTGTATACACCCATTATTGTACGCATCTTCTAGAGTGAAAGCAAAAATTAGAGAATGATTATCTAAAGTTTGTTTTGGGAAACGTAGCTTTGAAAGCTTACTCAACATAAATCATTATCTGCAGTTATTTTATCTATAGTCTATATTTTTAGGTTACTTTGATAAAATTGAAATCTAAAATCTGAGTCCATTAATTTATTAGATTGTTAAGTATTAAATCAAGTATATTTAAGTGTATATCACATTCAGTAATAAATGCATAGTTTATCACTTATTTTTTAGAACAAATTTCGTTTAGAAAATTCACTAGCACTTAATTAATTCAGATGTCCAATTTTGGTTATCAAACGCATTTGCACATATTAAGATTTGAATCCATTAAGTTTAGCGTGATCTTTTATTTTCATCTCAAAATCTTGAAATTTCAGTTCAAAATCTTGAATTTTCAATCCAACGTCTTACTCAACATAACCTGTATTGAACTTTCATTAACTTTCTAACAAATCCGCCATTAGAAATGGCACAACAAACTCTGGAGGATCTCTCCACCAAAAGACATGATCACATATGAATTCTGCGATCTTAGCTAATATATGAGTGATTTTATTATGATTCCTACTCATTCCTGAAATACTAGACATCTCTAAACTAGTTAAGTCCCTCGTAATGTCAAAAATTGGAGGGTCTAAACTAGATAAATCAACACCGCACCGTCATCTAAACCAATAGATTGAGTTTCCTTAAACACCACACCGTCAAAATTAAACTTTAACTTGCCATCGCCTGGACATTTCTGAGTAACATTAGCTTCTTGGAATTATTGGAGCGCACCCGAAGCAAAGCTAACTAAACTCAAAAGGGTCCACTCGTTTATCTTCATGCAGCTTTTGGTTCCTCCCAAGCCAAATAGCCCAACATAACATCTCAAACAACTCTGCTTCACGATTTTTCAACGTAACTAACAACTCCAGAGCCCACTCTTTGGGAATTGATTGCTGCCACTTACGTACTTGCCCTTTAAGGCAGCTTAACGCCCAGAAAGAAATTGCATGAATAAGATCCTCAATATCAAAACCACAAGACAGACAGTTGAGCTCCACTGAAGCTCTTCTCCGGAGCAGATTTACTTTAGTAGGCAAGAAATCACAGCAAATTCTCCAGAGATAATGCTTAACTTTACAAGGGACATTCAATAAAATTTCTTCTCCTGCTCGAGATAACTGCTGCTCCATTAATCCGTTTAAAAACCCTTTGTTTGATAGAATTAAAGACCTCACCTTTAGATCTCTCAACGATAGTAGGCAACCCCAGAGGTGCTTTTCATGTGATTCCACAGGCGGCATTCGAAGAGAACATTCAATTGCCAATTAATCAGCTTCTGGAGTATTCTTGCTAAATACCACCACTGACTTCTCCACATTAATCGGCTGGCCTGATGCACCTTCATAAAGATTGATAACCTGCATAAAATTTGAAGCCTCCTCCCCTGTAGCTTTCCAAATAAAAGAGTATCATCTGGCAAAAAACAAATGAGAAATGGATGAAGCACCAGGCGCAACAGCAATGCCTCCCAACTTTCCACAAAGACTAGCTTCTGAGATAAAATGTAAAAAGCTTCTGCACACAATATAAATAGATATGCGGAAAGTGGGTCTCCTTGTCTAATACCCCAACTAGGTTTTAAGTGGCCAAATCCCAAACCGATGAGCAAAAAAGAATAAGAAACTGTTGAAATACTTTTGAAAATTAAGAAAATAAATTTAGAATTGAAACCTAAAGCTAGTAATATTTTTAAGAGAAATATCCACTCAACTCGATCATACGCTTTGCTCGTATCCATTTTAATCGACCTGAGTTCCTCCTTGCCTGCATTTTTACATTTAAGATAATGATGGACTTCATAAGCAACAAGGACATTACTGGTGATTAATTGGCCAGGAATAAAAGCCGATTGAGATCAGAAATAATATTCGGTAAAAGAACACGGACTCGATTAGAGATGGCTTTAGACGCTAATTTGTACACTACATTACATAAACTTAGTGGACGGAATTGAGATATTTGCTTGCTTGGGCTCTAAATATTTAGGAATAAGAGCAACGTGTGTGAAATTTAGCTTGGGGGTAAGAGAAGACCTTTATTTAAGAAATTCAAAACGCAACAGGCACTACAACAAAAATGGCCTTTTCTGACATGTTTATAAGGACACTTGTTGGTTTGTGTCGTTATACCAAACGTATCATGACACTTATTAACCAACTCAATAATCTGTACTATAATTTTTTTATTTTATCATGATATAAAATAATAATGTGTCTTTAGACTACCTATCATGACACTTGGGAAAATGTGAGAAAAAAAAAAGACAGAAAATGACATCGTTTTAATTTGGCTCCAGACACTTGGTAAAGTACTCTGAAGTTTCATTTTGCCGGCAAAAGGACTTGGTGAAAATTTTCTTCTTCTCATCTCTCTCACCTCTCCGCATACAATCTATCTCAGCCAATCCAGAATGTTGGTCAAGCTGTCTCCGCAAACAACCATCTTCATCTTTTCTAACCTCAACTTTAAATCCTTCGGCTAAGACATCTGGAAGGGCAGGCAGGGAGTAAAATTAGAAGATCGGAGCTGTACATTGGGAAAGCTGGAAGATACTTCAGGCGCGCAAATGTTGTTCCAAAATCGAAGTGGTAAACACAATGAAGCTCTTATGTTTGATTTCGTTGTCAAGAAATTACCTGCAACTTGGAAATTTTTTTCTGAGAAGTAAAGATTCTTGGCCTGAGCTGTCGCTAGTTGAGTTATATTGTCCTCATTTAAGATTGTTGAAAGATTTAAATATGATATCTATCTAATTGTAGCATTAATAGCAACTCGGTGTTGGATGCTTTTTCTTTAGCTGCAATGGAGATGAAAACTTGAGGAAATTTGTTCAATTGGATTGCGTATTTTTTGAGGAGATCGATCTTTATGTCCATGTTACATTTGTTCTATCGTCATGCCATAATTGTACATAGGCTAGCTAATAAAGTGTCCACGGGTGATTAGTATGTTGCCCAAAACCTGTTCGATAAAAAGTCAATTCCCCCTGTTTTTCATTTTTTTCTATGAAACCTAGCTGTAATTGAAGTTTGTTTAGGCAGCTAGTTCTGTTTGGGGATGGGGACGGTTAAGCAAAACTGTGAATAGAGAGCTTCAACCAAATTGCATTGCTTATCGTAATCATGAACACTCAGCAACAAGTTCGATATAAATAAATGAAACAAGGACCATGGTCTATATATGCCTAGCAGGAAATTATTCTGGTGACAGAATTGGGAAACCGTGACTATATAAGCCCAAAGACAATTAAGATGCAGATAATGGACCGCCAATGTGAGGCACAAAATTTGCATAACAATGGTAACCTTTGCTGCCTTTTGGCTTTTGCCACAAAGGTGGTCCTCCGGCTAAGTGCATATTTCACCCAATGGTATCACTTATATCACTATTGCTTTTTTCTATGTTAAATTCTATGTAGTACTTGCATCTTTACATCATTTTTCTGTTTTAAATTGTATGTCTAATCAGTACGTGAGTTGCTTGAAATATATAGTATAACGCTTGTACTAAGTGTCTTCTGCACTTGATCAGTCTATTATAGTGCAAATTTTGAGCCCAAAAAAGGGGACTTTTAGATTAATAAGACAGAGACATTGATGTAGTTGGGTCAAAGTATTTTGACATGTTCATAAGGATCTTCATAGGCATGATTAGAAGCTAGGGGACTTTTCTGTCATTCTTTTTCCAATTACCTATGCCGTCAATTGCATGCCTTTCTAAAGAGATGACTTATAAAATTAATCACTACACACCAAAGATGTATGTATACTTTGATGAAAATTTAGTAAAATTCTTGAATTTCACCTTTAGTTTTCATGCTCATGTGTTTGTTTAACCATTGACATTTCAGATTGAACTTAGGAATTTTGCGAAGACGTGAGCGCAGGAGTTGGTACGAAGGGTTTTTTTCTGTTATTAGGTAAATAAAATTTCTATCCGCTTACTTGCAAATTCTGTTTTTATAGATTGTTGAGAAATTTTGCATTTTGTTGATTTCCTTTATTTGCTGGCTGCTTGATAAATTCCTTTTTGTTGAGAAATTCTTGAACTTGAAATTAGGGACTTGTAAGCCACGACCTGAGTTTAAAAAGTAGGCTATTGGAAGCTCGTTGGAGGACATTTATTTATATTAAAAGTATGGATAAAAGATGGATGGATTTTCCAAGAACAAGTGAAAAGTACGAGACAGGACTTCAAATGTTTCTAAACTTCGCATTTTCTAGATCAAGTTGTGACGGAAAGATTTTGTGTCCTTGCAAAGATTGTGGCATGGGTGTTTGTGTGACAAAAATGGAAGCATATGATCATTTGAAAGTGGTAGGATTTATCAAGGGTTATAATAATTGGACAGCACATGGAGAACTTTCAAACTACAATGAAGCCACATCTAATTCTGAAAATACATCAATTGGGTTTTCAAATGGGACTAATGACATGCAAGACTTGGTCCATGATGTATTTGGGATACCACATGGAACAAATGAATTGAATAGAGAAGGGGACATTCCTGTTTCAGAGGCTGAAAAAATTTTACAAATTGATTGATGATTCTCAACAGAATTTGTACAATGGTTGCAAAAATTTCTCGAAATTGTCTTTCATTATTCGTTTGCTTCACCTAAAATGCCTGGGTAAGATGAGTAACAAGATTTTTAATATGCTTGTTGAGCTGTTGAGAGAAGCATTTCCGGAGGCCATGACTAATTTGCCGTCTTCTTACTATGAGGCTGAGAAATTGATGAATACATTGGGGCTGGGTTATGAAAAGATTGATGCATGTCCTAATGATTGTTCTCTTTATAGGGGTAGTGCTGAAAAAAGAACTTCATGCGAAACATGTAACGAGCTTAGGTGGGTTGCTTCAGAAAATGATCCAACTGGGGAAAAAAGGAAAATTCCTCAAAAAGTGTTGCGGCATTTTCCCTTAAAACCTAGATTACAAAGACTATTTATGTCTTCTAAAATTGCATCTCAAATGAGATGGCATGAGGCAAAACGTACAAAAGATGGTTGTATGAGACATCCAGCTGATTCTCCAGCTTGGCAAACTTTTGACCATCTACATCCAGAATTTGCTAAGGATTGTCGAAATGTTAGATTGGGGTTGGCATCTGACGGGTTTAATCCATTCAACAACATGAGTTCTACACACAGTACTTGGCCTGTAGTTTTAATACCATATAACTTACCTCTGTGGATGTGTATGAAGCAACCGTACTTCATGTTGTCTTTGTTAATACCCGGACCATCCTCTCCTAGGAATAATATTGATGTTTATCTACAGCCTCTAGTTAAAGAACTGACCGAATTGTGGGATTTTGGCATTCAAACTTATGATGCATCCCAAAAAGAAAATTTTCAACTGCATGCGGCTCTGTTGTGGACCATTAGTGATTTCCCTGGATATGCAATGTTATCTGGGTGGAGCACTAAAGGTGAATATGCTTGTCCTGTTTGTCACAAGTTCACTCATGCACGACGGTTGACTCATAGTTTCAAATATTGCTACATAGGTCATCGGAGATTCTTAGATAGTAAGCATAAATTTAGAAAGCAAGCCCAATTCTTTGATGGCACCGAAGAACATGGAAAGCGACCACCTTTGCAAACCGGGGATATGATTGTGAGTGAATTGGGAGACTTGCAAATTAAATTTGGAAAACTTGTGAAAGGTAATCCGAAGCTGCCTTTCAATTGGAAAAAGAGGAGTATTTTCTTTGACTTGCCATATTGGAAAGATAATGTCTTAAGACACAATCTTGACTTCATGCACATTGAGAAGAATGTTTGTGAAAATATTTGGGGGACATTGCTGGATATTGAGGATAAAGCAAAGGACCATTATAATTCCCGCCGTGATTTGAGAGAAATGGGAATAAGAAAAGAGCTGCATCCCATTGAGACAGAACCTGGAAAGGTGTACTTACCTCCATCTTCCTTTGCAATGGATAAAAAACAGAAAACTATGTTTTGCAATGTGCTAAAAAAAGTGAAAGTTCCAGATGGTTATGCAGCTAATGTCTCAAGATGCGTTCGAGTAAAACCACCAAGAATTTCAGGGCTTAAAAGTCATGATAATCATATCCTAATGCAGCAATTGATGCCTATAGCTTTGAGAAAGACTTTGCCAAAATCAGTGCGCTATCCTTTGATTCGATTGAGTAGATACTTCAGGCAGCTTTGTTCTAAAGTTATTTGTCCTCAAGATGTGGTTCGTTTGGAAAGTGAAATTGCCGTCATACTCTGCGATCTTGAGAAATGCTTCCCACCAACCTTCTTCGATGTCATGGTGCATTTAGTTGTTCATTTGGCAACTGAAGTGAAATTAGGTGGGCCGGTGTATTATCGTTGGATGTATCCTATACAGAGGTACTGCTTGTAATTCTCATTATGCCTTAAATGTTTATTCCTTTTTTGCTTTCTTTGATTTGTGGAAGTAATTAGAGAGGTTGGAATGATGATACTTTAGGTACTTAGGAACATTAAAATCTTATGTTCGAAATAAAAGTAGGCCTGAAGGTTCGATTGCTCAAGGCTACTTGGCAGAAGAATGCATTAACTTTTGCTCATTGTATCTTGCGGACTATGTTGAGACAAAATTCAATCGTCCAAGCAGAAATGAAGAAGTACATAAGGAAATTGAAGATGGTTTAGATATATTCTCTGAATCAGGACATCCTTTGGGGAGGGGCAAGCCAACAGTCTTTGATGCTCATATCTTGAGTAAAGCACATCAGTATATTTTATTTAATTGTGATGCTGTCACACCTTACATAGAGTAAGTTCAACTACAACTTGATGCATTAAAATTTTATTGTAGAATTCAATGTATGATTACAATTTTGACTCATGTACTTCTAGGCAGCATCGTAGATTGATAGAAGAAGGACATCCTCAAATTCCACAGCATCTAAAAGAGCGCTTGCACTGCGAAAATTTTGCGTGTTGGTTTGCTGAACATGTAAGTAAAATTCTGAATATTAAGTACAATTTGAATTGTAGGACTTCAAATATAGTTTCATCTTCTTTTATTTATTTATTTATTTATTTATTTTTTACAGATTGACAAGTTAGAACTTCCTCAAAATGTTTCGGTGTTGAGAGAGTTGAGGTTCCTTGCTAAAGGTCCAGATGTTGTTGGAATCCAACATGACAGGTATGTTGTTAATGGATTTCGGTTTCACACCAAAGAAGTTGAGAAGAAAAGAAAAACGCAGAATAGTGGTGTTACAGTCAATGCAACAACATCCAGTTTTGCAAGTATAAGGGATCAAAATCCAGTTTTGAGTGAACTAGTTTACTTCGGCGTCTTGAAAAATATGATTGAATTAATTTACGGAGGTCATCGGGTGGTGTTATTCGAATGTGATTGGATATCAAATGGTTCGAGAATGAAACAAGATGCTGATGGGTTTACTTTAGTCAATTTTGCAAACGTGAGGCCTCATGTTGAGCCATTTATACTCGCTTCACAAGCATCACAGGTTTTTTATGTGGCAGATCCAACTGATAAGGATTGGCAAGTTGTTATCTCTACCACTGCAAGAGCTGGATATAACATGGGAACAATCATGGATGTTGAGACATATTTGCAAAGTGATGTTGGCAATCCTGTTGTTGAGAATGAAAATGAGGAAATTAGTTGGGTTCGTGAGGATGGACTCGGGATTGAAGTTGATTTGTCCCAATATAATCTGATTTAGTATCTTTTATAGTTGCTAAGCTTGCTGGCCCTATTCTTCTCTGTTTCAATTGCTAGGCCTTGCCCTTCTTTTTTTTTCACTTTTGGATCCTATGGACTTGAAGTCTATCAACTTCTCGACAGTAGCAAGTGCTTGAGACACGGTCTGAACATTTTGTCACCGCAACTCCATCTGTACCCACGGTTGAAGTCCATGGATGAAGATGTAGAGTCTGTCTTCCTCAGACATCTATGGTTTGGGGAGAACAATTGGCAACGTACGGAATGTGCAAATCATTTCAGACCAAACATAAAACTATCCAACTTTCCAAGGAACCCATTACTCATTTTAAGAGCCCAATGGGCTGCATAAATACTGGTCATTATTTTATAAGCAATTCCATTAATTGTAAGCTGTAATATTACATTTGTGAATCATTATATTATGGCCAATTCTTTTTCCCAATAACCCAAGGTCTAATTTTTTATCAATAGAAATATTTTGAAACTTTAATCTATAAATTTCTTAAATAATTTTTTAATACCATGAAAAAATTATTTTTTAAACCAATAACAATACAAAAAGTTAATTCCGATAGAGCTTTCTAGTCCAACTGATCTTTGATCGAATTTAATCGGTTTAGTCGCAATTTTAGATTATCCTTCAATCAATGCGTTGTAAGTGTAAGCCTAAGGTTAATCATTGAAAAGTTCAATATTAAGATCTTGTAAGTGATAGTAAGCTTCTAATTAACACAAAGTTCAATGGCAATTGCTTTGGAATTGAAAACATTGAATATATATATATATATATATGTTTATGTTCAATTAATGCGTTGTAAGTGTAAGCCTGAGGTTAATCATTGAAAAGTTCAATAGTAAGATCTTGTAAGTGATAGTAAGTTTCTAATTAACACAAAGTTCAGTGGCAATTGCTTTGGAATTTTTAACAATGAATATATATATATATATATATATGGGTAAAAAACAAAAAAACCCCCTGTGGTAAGCCTAATACACAGAAAAATCCCCTATGGTTTCAAAATATACAATACGACACCTCATGTTTTGAACTAAATTATAAAGGTGACGGAATCCGTTAAACTTAACGGAAATGACTTATTGGAACCTAAAAAAAAATTTTTATGCCTATTTTTTATCAAATATGCATATTCTACCCCTTAACCCTCAATTCTCTCTACTTAGAGAATGAAACAAATGATTTTTTTGAGCTGTCTTTTGCTTAATTATATCAGTGCATTTTGGTCATTTCGTCCATTTCCGTTAAGTTTAACGGATTCCGTCACCTTTACAATTTAGTTCAAAGCATGAGGGATCGTGTTGTATATTTTGAAACCATGGGGAGCTTTTCTGTGTATTAGGTTAACTACAGGGGGCCTTTTTGTTTTTTACCCTATATATATATATATATATATATATATATATATATGTTTATGTTCAATTAATGCGTTGTAAGTGTAAGCCTAAGGTTAATCATTGAAAAGTTCAATAGTAAGATCTTGTAAGTGATAGTAAGTTTCTAATTAACACAAAGTTCAATGGCAATTGCTTTGGAATTGAAAACATTGAATATATATATATATATATTCATTGTTTATGTTCAGTCAATTCTAATCCCAATGTTTATCAATGGAAAGTTCATGCATTCACAAGTTAATTTTCTTGTTTCATAAACTAATTCGATCCTTCCAATGGCTTGTTAGACTACAAGCCGTACATAATTGCTCGCAGCATAAAATAAATTGAGTAACCGAAAACATTTTGATTAAAAGAATGTTTTTTGTTAGCTTCTCAAAATTTTTAATTATTTTTATATTTTTAGTTATTATATTACATTGTATATAGCTTTAACAAAATTTTTATTTGTTATATTTTTAGTTGTTATATAGCTGTAACAAAATTTTTGATTGTTATATTATATTGTATATAGCTCTTGCAAAATTTTTATTTGTTATATTTTTAGTTGTTATATAGCTTTAACAAGATTTTTAGCCTTTATATTTTTAGTTGTTATATTATATTGTATATAGCTTTAACCAAATTTTTAGTTGTTATCTAGCTTTAACAAAATTTTGCCCAAACACACAAAAATTGTCATTAGTAGCGCGGCAAATTGAAAAATTCAAGAGGCTTGACTAATTTACTTTGGCGTCATTAGTACCGCCTTTATTTCAGACATCTTCTCCCTCTCTCGTTGTCCTCTGCCTTTGTCCTCTCTCTCTCTTTCAAGCTCGCACAACCAATTTGAGTCAATTGCCGTCCATGAACTCGCACCCTTTTGGGTAACTTGGTTGAGCTCGCACCAGGCAAATCCCTAATTCGGCTGTTGTGTTGGCTTGGTGGGAAGAAATCAGAAATTAGGGCTTCAAAGCTTGGGAAACCGAGAAATTAGGGATTCAAGCCATAGTTTGAGGTAATTTCAGTATTTTGTGTCTAATTCTGCATTGCATGGTAGACATGTTCTTGCATTGCTTGGTAGATTTAGTTTTTAGGCTATTCGATTCCCATCTCTGACAAGCACCTTCTCCGTTTCTGAGAAGCACATTTCTAGGTAGAATGTTTGCTTTGGGGGGTGGTGGTGGTGTGAAAAGCTTTTGGGGTGGTGGCGGTGTGAAAAGCACATTTCTGAGAAGCACATTTCTAGGTGAGCCTGGTCGAATGGAGACTGCTACTGTGAACTGAATGTACAATTTCAACCATCTATTTTTGGTGATGGGTTCTCGTTTTCAGTCTTTCACCGTGATGCTCTTCGTCTCCTTCCTGTTCTACAACTGTATTGTTTGTACTGCTACAATTGTATTGGACAAAGTGTTTGTGCATTTACTGTTAAGTGTCAACCCATAACTGTGGATGTGGCTCTGGCAAAAAGAGAAGTAATTTGGTTTGGAATCGTCAATGCTACGTAAAGCTTGAGCTCTTGTTTAGATGAGACAAGTTCTTGATAAATGCAGAACCATGTCAGAATCTGGAAATAAAAGTATTCAGTAGAGCTTCATAACCGACCCGATTGCCACCCTAAACATACAAAACCAAGACTTGTATTTGTTGGTAGAATACATTATCCTCTGCAATTTTTGGTTATCACATGGCCAAGTATATTTCGTTAATTCAAGACAATCATTTATTAGTTTGCTCCATTACTGAAGTTAAAATTACGTGGACTCTTCTACTTACACCCTCATTGAGCATAAGCATACCAACTTTTGATCATAGGCATCATTCTCAAAACAATATGGAAAAAGTTTCGTGTCTAGCGGTAGTAAATTCTGCATATCTTTCATGCTGAAAGGATGTAGATCAAAGCATTTCCCATGTATATTCTTGCAGTCACTTAAGCATGTAGCTTTCATTTCATTTCCAATTAGTTGCTGCATTGAATCATATATTCTCCATTTGTTTCTCTGTTCTGTTGACAGCTCCATAGTCTTCCCCTGGTTTATTCTTGCAGAATGCCATTTGTTACTTGTCATGCCAGTTTATTGTTCAAGTAGTACTTCTTTATAATAGCATTTGTAAGTTAAAGAAACTATAGGTAGAGAGTGTGCTTCAATAAATTTTAAACATTTACATTTGTCCCTTTCTTCACTCAAATATTATGCAGGTATGGCCCGTAGAGGTCGAAAATGTAAGCGCGCTGCAAATGGATTGAGAGATGAACCAATTGAGCAACCTCCCTCATGTTATGAAACAAGGCAGCAGCCTCCACTTGGAACAAGCCATGAAAATGTAATTGAACAAGTGCAAGGAGAAGCTGCTCGGGCACCTCAATCTGCAATTCAGAATTCTACATTGGGAATAATGCATGAATCAGGTGACCAAGTTACTCAACAAGCTGATGGAGGTTCCAAGTCGCATGAGCAGTGCCAGAACTCTCCAATTCAACAATCTCCACTTGGAACAAGGCATGAAGCAACCGAAGAAAGTCCAAATCAGGATTCTCGAGGTCCACATTCCAGTGACACCACCTTCATGTCATGCAACTCGGACAATGCAGGTATTACTAACTGTTTTGAACCAATTC